TGTTTTCCACCATGAATTTTGGCACTCTTTTATATTTCTTCCCTTACGTGATGCGATATATTTTTTATATTATAAAACATGAATATAACTTATAAGAAAACGAAATCCATTGAATGTTTCTAAAGTATTTCATAGCACCCCAAAACAGATAATTAACACATATATTATGGAAAAACATATAAATCGCAAAATTCATATTTACGTTCTACTAATTTTTAAAATTAGTTTAATAAATCTTCACATATGTCAAGTGTTTTTTAAAATACCTATACGTGGAAATATATTGCATTGTGAAAAGAAATATCATGATGTGAAAATATCCATATTATGAAAAATATTATTTGATAGATGAAAATATATAATTCATGATGTGAAAATTTTCATTTTCAAAATAAATATTGTGTACTTTCAAAAAAAGTATATTTAACAAATAAGGGGAAATTATTATTAGTAGTAAAAGTAAATTAAAAATAATATAAAAACATAAGAGAAGTAAAATAATATAAATGTGAACAAAAATAAATAGAGTAAGAACAAGATGCAAAAAAAATACAAAGTAAAAAAGAAAATAAACTAAAAGAAAGCTTAGGATACCAAAATTCTTATTTTGAGCATGACATATTTTTTTATCATTTGTTACGGAAAAAAATGAATCATTAAATACTTAAATCGTGGATCACCCTTGGCCTCTGCATCGATTGGTGCACACAACCATGTGTTATTGATTATGTCATCCTTTCATAAATATAAGATGTTCTACTTTTTTTCGAATCGGATGTATATGGACACATTTTAGTGTGTTTGTTCACTCATTTCAATCTGTATGCAGTCCATATTGAAATGTCTAAAACATCTTATATTTGCGAATGGAGGGAGTATTAAACAACGAATAGAAAAGCGAAGCATTGATGTTGAAAATACAGGCTTACAAAATAAACGAAAAACAAAGAAAAGCCCTGAGGCCATCCAAAAGTGATCTCCCTTGTAGCAGTATCTCTACAAGCGTACCATCAACCCTATGACATGGGAGACCAGACAACAAAATCACGCCACTCATGGACAAAGCCTTTAAGAAGGGAGCATCGCACGTGCATCGATGTTGATAAGTCCATCCAAAGGTCGAACTTAGGATTTTCATCCCCGAAGACGAGTTTCGGAGAACACCTTCAAAAGGGCACGCCACGTTTATTTCCTGGTCTAGCTGGTGGGCGAGATCATAGGCTTTCACCAAGAGTGCGCGCATACTTACTGTCGAAACCATCACCGCTAGCAACCTATCTATCGGCTGCCGACTTCTCTCTAGTCGGATCCGGACTATATATGCAACTTTAGCTTTAGAAATATGCAACCAAAAAACTATACATTAATTCAATGCCTAATATTCTTTTTATGCAGCTCGACATGACTATGTGCAACTTGGTTGAAATAGAAAAAGACAAATCCCAAATTCTGGGTTGACTTAGGGAATAGTAAATCTGTTTTATTTGAATCAATAAAGCTTGCTCAATACCCCGTCAAAAAAACAAGCTTGCTCAATACATGAGGGACAATACACATGCTATACAAAGTTGTACAATCTATCGTACACAGTACACGATACAACATGCACATGTCAGAACGTGAGACCTGATCCCTTGAACTTCTCAGCGACAAGCTGGTCCATTCTAGCTGCCATGTCCTTGCTCATGTGGTTCACCCAATCCCCAACCTCCCCTTTCCTAAACAGCGAAGAGGGATTAAAAACGAGCTTAGCTCCTGCGTGCTCAACTTCAACACGATCTGCCCGATTGGCGTCGACGTTGCTAAGTGATGTGAAGCCGCACAAATCAGCTACTTGGTCCACGACTCCGCCGCTTTCCTCCTCTCGGGTGAACGGGACGCCGAGGAAGCTTGCTAGCTTCCTAATAACATTGGGTGTGTCTGACACCATCTCCTCGTACCTCAGAAACATCACCTCTCGTGGTCTGGCCAAACTTTCTTTCCAGTACTCGAGATAGCGATCCCAGAAAGGACCGTAAGGCGAGCAACCCTCAGAAAACATTGCGAATGCTTCATCCGTACCTAGGGATATACCTTGGTGCAACTTCTTCTCAAAGTGCCACCTTGAGAGAAATGCGTCTTTGGGCTCTCGGCAAACGCACACGATCCGGCAGCCAAGGGTGGAAACTGCGGGTGGGAGCAGGGGGAGCGGCAGGTGGGTGGAGAGCAGCCGCGGAGAGGGCAGCGTCTCGGCTCTGTCGAGGTCTCCCGGCCGTAGCGCGATGAAAGGCACAAGTTGATGGGGACGTACCGTGAGCAGTGGGTGGTCGGTGAAGGTGTAACGGGATCTGTTTAGGATGGTAAACACCAGGGCTTTCAGCCAGGTGGTGCCGCATTTCGGATGCGCGGCGAGGATGATGTCGTCGGGGCGGAGCTTGAGCATGTCCTGGACAGCCATGACATCCTTAAGGGAATGTGGTCTGATCCAGCAGTTGTTGTAGAAGACCAGTGGCGTCGACCATCCTTCTTTGGTTGGAAGTGTTGCTATAAGACTTTCGGTGTGGGTTTTGGATGATACGGCTTCACGTGGGCGACTCTCCATGTCCTCGGAATGAAGGTGTGTCATGGCTGACATTGAGTTGTGCTTCTTCCTCCCTGTTTATATATGTTAATGGGTGTTTCAGAGTGTCATATAACAGTGACCGGCCAACTACTCGCATTGTCTTTTGCAATAATGTAAATGTAAAAAAGCGAAGGAAAAGTAGCCACGAGAATAGCGAGATGTGTTTTATAAGTTTCTCCCCAACATTTACTACATAGTTTTTTTACCACATGTGTCACATGGTCCCAACATTTACTACCAACCATGTGATCCGCAGGTATTAGCTATACGATGATTAGATTACCATGGCAAAGCTAAGCTAGGAGAAAATTTCAAGCGTGACATGGATATGATCCGCATTGGCTTAGCCTTTCTCTAGAACGTCCATCACGAGAAAAAGCTTGCCTGCAGCGCACATTGCATGCAGTCGGCTCTCGCGGACACGCTTCTTACCAGATCATCTTTTTTTAGAAACACTGTACCAGTTTTATCGAGAACTAACATCGTGCCAGATTGTTTGTTTCTTTTTGTTATTTTATTATTATTATTATAGGAGAAACAGCGTACAGGTGAGATTTGTTTCTTGAGCGGACGGTAACAGATTATTATCAAGAAATAAGAGATGAAGCCTCCTACATGCCTCCTTAGAGATCAGCGAATTCCGGTTGTCGGATCGATTTCCTTGATGCGTTTCTGGGCGTCGGATCAAGATCTGGATGAACCTGGGCCGTCGGATCTGAGGTAAACACTGCTGGAATGAATAGTAATGGCAGCAGAATGTAAATACCATGCCCCCACCAGGGTATTTTGGTCATTTCACATAGTGGCCTATAAAAGCCAGCAGCTCCCGTGGCAAGCCCTAGCCGCCTCCCTCTCCCGCACTCGCGCAGCCCCTCGCCTCTTCCTCCCCCTCCTGCCCACTCGCTCGATCCTCCGTCGCCGCCTCGGTCGCCGGCTGATTCCGGCCGCTCCGGTGAGCTCCGGCTCCGCCCAACACACGCACGACTGCTCCTCGACGAGCTCTACCACCTTCACCGCGCCGATCTACTTTTCGTCGCCTCCTGTGGTCGCCCCTTCGATTTCCCCCGCTAGGGTTTCAGTGGTGGAGGTGGACCTCGCCTCCGGCGGCCGCCTGCTCGTTGCGCCGGTCATCTCCGCCCCCGTCAAGGTCGCCCCTCGGAGCTGCTCGTGATCCACCGGGGGAGGCGAGGAGCACCGGCAGATCGAGTCCCCGGCGTTTTCCTCTACGAGCTGGGGCTGGTGTGCAGTTCTCCTCGCCGGTCTCACTTCTCCCCATCCTCCTCTACGGTGCTCGACAGAGGCAGCACGGCCGCCCCTCTTCTCCCTCGCTGTTGGCTGCCCCTGAGCACCACGCTGCTCACCGGACCGATTTGTGACACCCCCACCGACCTGAGATCCGTCTCTGCAGGTATGAGCTCCCCCACCCTCCCCTCCCACCCCCGCTCCTCCTCCCCCTACTCGCCTCCTTTGCTTTCCGCGGTTTTGGCCCGTGTAACCTAGGATTTCCGATCTGAACTGTTGTTACCGCGTGCATGACGATGGTAATTTGTGGTGATGCAGGAGGACAACATTATTGGTTATGTTTGCAATTACTGCTACTGCTACTATTTTTGGTTTTGAGTTATGCCTATATCTCAGTTGTTCTCTTTATTATTTTGGTTTCAGGTTCCTCTCACAAGATCTCAGGTGTCTCTTTCCTCTCTCCAATTTGCTAATGGTGGTCATGTGTATGTTTTTGTAGATCAGATGTAGTAGGTTCCAATAGCATATTATGGTCTGTTTTCCTTTTTAGGCAAAAGTAGCAGTGTTTGGTTTCATATCTGACTAGATTGCTTTGAAATATAATTGGTTGTTAAACTCAATTCATTTGGAACTGAGTGAGTAGATGAAGTGATTTAGCTTAGCCTCCTCCAGCTAATTTAGGTGTTGGCCATCCATTATTAGATTGTACGAATCGAATAGAAGTAATCTTTGTGAAATCTTAGCTTTGCCCGGTTCATTCGGCGCCCTCGGATGCAAGGATTTTTTTCAGATTCGTGATGGAACTACACTGTTTCCTCTGAAATTGACTTTCAAAAGCAGAGCTCTGTATTACGGGTGTTGCCTGATGCCCCAATGCAGATTTTTGGCTGTGCCCTTAGTTAGTCAATTATTTTAAGGAAATTGTGAGGGGAATGTGTGCGCACTCATAGACATCCCAAACTCTTGTTTTGTTGGTACCATGTTGTCTAGGGGGGCATTGGATCTAGCTACATTTTTTTAATAAAGTATGTCTTTGTTGTTGAGGTGGGGTTCAGTCCTCACAGGTGGGTCATACGATAATTAGATGGCTTCATATTTTTTTGGATGAATAGATGGATCTTGTGGGAGATGACGGCATCAACTGTCTTGCGGTTTTGCTACATAGATCAGGTGACAGCCAGGGCTAGAATAGATTCAATTATCTTGGAGATGTTTCTGTCATATGATAGTTAGGAGATGCTTTGCCGCTTCAGTTGTGCCCCTTTTGATTGGTATTTTTGGATGAATAAATGGATATTCTGAGGGATGAAGGCTAAAATATATTCAGTTGTATTAGAGTTGTAGTGTATGAATCTGGTGAGAGATAAGGGCTGAAATACATTCGGTCGTCTTGGAGTTTCAGGTTTTTTGTGCATTTGGTTCTGGTTGTTTTGATCTGACTAAGTGACACCTGGGTTTCATTGATTTCTTGGGATTGTTCATTATCTTGATCCATGCCTGGTACTGAATCTGAATGTTTTCATCTCCAGTACCATGGCACGGCATTGGCGGCGGCATCTTGGTGAGGAAGAGGACGACGGTAGCTTAGGGAGGAAGATGACACTGGCAACATGCAGTGTAAGAGGCTGCCGATGCCGCTGTTGGTGAAGAAGATGCTAGGTTGCGTCATTTTTGTGGGAGTATTGTGGTGAATTACATATTTAGATTATGGTATGGTCATGGAAACCTAGAAAAGGAAACTGGCTTGGTGCTCTAGAGCCAGGTGTGTGCCCAGACAGCTGAAAAGCTAATAGAACCACTATAAATCGAGGGACAACAATCTTCATTGCCTAATTCCCTTTGTATTTAAATCATAATTATATCTATCATCTCCTAACCATCGGCTCATGGGGACATGACATGATCTAGGAGATGTTCATCATGTCGAGCCTCCTAACCATCGGCTCCAGCCATCGATAGATAGAGTTCCTCGATGGTTCATGTGGCCTTAACCGCCGCTGGGCTCCCTGCGCCCACGCCTCAATTCTTCTACCTCTTCTCAGGTATATTTTGTGTCTCCTTTTCCTTATTTATTTCTCTTCCATGGTACTATCGATGTCTGCTGATATGTGTGTCCATATTTTCACTGATGTCATGTTAGCAGTATATGATGTAGCTTTCCTGTTAAAATGGCATTGCATGTCATGTTTGCTTTAAGGAAATCTTCCTATTTTTATTTTTCTACAATGTAGGGCATAGTTTATACATGTTTCCTTTCTTAACTCGACCTGTTCCTGAAACTTTTATATTGATATGGTCTTGGTGGTCTCTGGTTTTGGTAATTAATTTGAAGGTCCATTTATCAAAAATAATAATAATTTGAAGGTCTACCTTTCTGGTTTTCATTACTTATATGTGTGTATAGTCATGTATATGTTAATTTGATAGCGGAGTTAACTTTACAGAACATATAAGTTACCACTGTTTTGTTAGTTCATTGATGGTCAAATATACTATTTTTATATCATCTTATAAGTGCCACAAAAATTATGCAGTTGATTGTAGCATGTTGTCATTGGATTAAAAATATATATTTTAGAATGTGGTCTTTATATGCTCATTGTATGCATTTACAATGGATTTTGGTGGTTTAATATGCCCAATGTTGTTACATAACATGTAGATACCACTGTTCTATTTTCATGGTCAAACATACATCACCTCTTCGCCTCCTTGGCATCTTCGGTGCCTGTGGCGTTTGTGCTCATCGGTGGGACGGTGCAAGGCGCAACTCCGATGCAGCGGCATGGATGTGCGGTGTAGGAAGCGGTTCCTCGCCGGCTGGACATCGTTCGGGTGCAACCCTGGCGCCCACTGAGTACTGCCTCGGCTATAGTCTCCCTCAGTGAGCCCCGTCTTTCTTCTGCTCTGCTTCGGCTACTATATGGGGCATGGCCAGAGCTATGATGATCAGTTATGGCTGATATAGGCATGCTCTCAAGCAGTCGAGGCACTTGTGGGTATTAATTTGGATCCCCCTTGTTTCTTTGAGCCATTTTGATCATGTTCTTATTTTAGTGGCTCTGTCCTTGGATGGTCATTTCTGATGAGTGATAACCAGGGCAGTTTCACCCTCGTAAGAACATATTGATCTGGTGATCTAGAAACAAGAACCGCAGAAGCTTCCGTGCATTGTCAGCAATTTGGTACATTCGGCC